TGCTCATTATATTCAAGGAAAAATAAAAATAAACAAGACACAAATAGTTTTCATTTTCATTGGTGCTCCTGCTGTGCAGCATTCTAGGCATTTTTGGGTGAGATGGGTGAAGGTGGCCCCAGGGATGTCTGGCTGATCCCCACAGGTTAGAACCACAACCTCCCCTTAGAGCAGGGATAACCTTCAAACTTGTGTCAGGGCTATTGCCACAGCTGGAGGACATCCCTAATCATAGAATCATGGGATCATTTAGGCTGCAAAAGCCCTCTGAGATCATTGAGTCCAACCATCCTCCAAGCATTACCAGAGCCACCATTAATGCAGGTCCCCAAGTGCCACATCCACACATCTGTTAAACCCCTCCAGGGATGGGGACTGATGGCCCTCTGGACTCCCTTGCCCAGTGCTGGCCCCTCTCTGCAGGGTCCTGGCAGGGCTGTATCACTGTGGGGAGGTCAGAGCCCCCCAGGAGGTGTGAGCCCCAGTCCCACAGCGAGGTGTGAGCTCTGCAGCTGCCAGTGAACAGCCATGCTCATGCACTGCTGTTTACTGGCCTCATGATTTATTCAAAGCTATCAAACCACTTCCCATGTGTGGGGCTGTTTGATGGTAGGGGTGCTCAGCAGTGTTTCTCTGAAGTGCAGGTCCTGTCCTCTGTAATATGGAGGGTTTTTCCACCCCAGCTGGATTTGTGCCCTTCAAAGGGGATATTGTCTGGCTGGCCCAGCTAGCATGGGATGTGCCTGGCACCCGCATCCCCTGGGAGAGAGGGGAGGGCTCAGGGAGCTTTGGCACTGCTCACTGATTGTGCTACAGCTCCACAGCCTGTCCTGCATCCCTTCATGGCCCTGCAGCCTCCCCCTGTGGGCCCCTGCATCCTTCTACAACACCCATGGCCTCTCCTGCATCCCTCCACCACCTCCATGGCCACAGCATCCCCATCCCTCCATTGCCCCAGGGTTCCTGCATCCCATGGGGACCACGCAGGGATGTGCAGCCACACCTTGGGGCTTGGTGGGGTCAGTTTGTGAGTGGGAGTAGAGGGACCTGGGCTCAGTCAGGGATCACCTGAGGGACAGTCCTTTGACACCCAGAGCACCTCACCTCTGCCCCAGGTGAAGCCACCAGCATCTCCCAAATGGATCATCCCACTCCCCAGAGCTTGCATCCACTTGTGGACCTACGGAAAGAGGAGAAAAGGCTACAGGAAGTAACAGGGATGGAATAATAATTCTTCCTGTGCTCCAAGGTCCTTCAGTGCCAGGGCTGTGATAGTGCAGCCCCCACAGGTGAGCTGTGCGCCAGGGGGAGGCTGACAAAGTCCCCCACCAGCCTGGAGAGAGCCCTCACCATCACCCATGGGCAAAGTTCCACCATTCCCCTGCCCTGGGTTCTTGACTTTGTGACCTGTGTCTCTAGACAAGGGCAGGATTTCAGAGCAGCTTGAAGGAGTTTGAAAGCTTCTGGGCTAATCTTTGTCACTGTTTATACCCCAGGGTGAAGACTCAGGAGCGCCATAACAGCCTTTTCTACATGTTTTACCTTTGAATAATTTTAAGTTTCTATTTCTACCCTGTGTGCACCAAAACAAACCTCATACCCCAGGTCGAGTGAGGCAAAAGTGGTAAAGAATGGCTTTTTTCCAGGAATAATAAAGGAAGCTTGGGAGGGGTCAGCTAATAAACATTTAAACTGCATGAACTGCAATAGCAGAGAGCTCTGTGATTTGCCAGAGAAGCGAAAACCAGTGGACAGAAGCAGAAAACCGAAACCAGAAAACAGAAGCTGGGCCCAGAGGTCTGCAAGGGCGACTGGCTTGGGATGGCCGTGCAGAGCTCCAGGGGCGGCAGCCGGTGACTCAAAGCAGGAGCCCTGTGGGCGGGGTCACGGTGACGGGCAGGACCTGCCCCCCTTGTCCGGGACCCTTCCCGGCATTCCGGGGGAAGCGACATTCCAGCTGACAAAGCAGCTCTGTGGGCACCCACTGGTGACATAACCACCTCCTCCTCCTCACATTCAGTTGTGCTTTTTTTCCTCACCGACCGTCTCAGAGCTTCTAGGTGAAAGACAGAGCTGCAGGTCCCATCGCAGCCACCACACTTCCCCACATCCCCCTGTGCCCCATGCACATAATCAGCCTCATGGTTTGTGCCTTGCAGGCAGCAGCTGGTGAGCAGAAGGTGCGAAGTTCCCATGAGCAAAGCTGTCACCTGCTGGTGACAGGGTGATGTCAGCCACAGGGTGCCTTTCTGCAGCCACAGCCTTTGTCACTGCTCCATTCGGTGCTGGCGTTTGTCACACTCGAATGTGACTTGCAAGAACAGAGGAACATAAAACTCCCACTGTTGGTTTCTGAATGAATTATTTCCGTGGCAAAAAGCCATAATTTGGGTTTTTTTCATCAGCAATTCAGCCACAAGCTGGAGCCACTTCTTGTTCTGTGCTGAGCTGATCAGACTTACCAAGGGAACAAAGAGCTGATCCTGCCAGACTTGCTTCTGGCAAAATCCACCACCTTCCCTGATATCCTTGTCAGTATTTATGGAGACTTTGCTCCCTCTAAAAGCACATCCTTGGCCTCTCTGGTGAGGTCTCTGCCAAGATGAGGATGTGCCACAACCGGCAGCACTAGGGATGTAATGCAGGACCAGACCATGAGGGAAAAGGAGGGATGCAAAACAAACCGTCCCCATGGAATAAGCATGGGAAGGAGCAGACCAGTCTAAGGAACCTCCAAACTTCTCCTTTCAGTCCCTGCCAGGGACAAGCCAGCTGGTGAAGGACAGTGCCTCTATTGCTCTCATGTGCAGCTCCAGGGTAGCCAAGCAGAGGGTTTAGAGTTCTGGGAGAGAAAATCCAGGCTCAGGAACACAACTAGAGGCCTGAGTAGCCTCTCTGCAGTGCAGGGGTCTTTAACTGCATGCCCAGAATGTGACAGGGGATCAGAAAGCCCAGGTCAGCCCTCTTCCTGCTCCCCAAGGAGCTGCCCTGAGTTGTTGGCCTGCTGAGACTTGGTCTCTCCCACGTCAGGCTGGTTGTCCCCCACTTTCATCTCACCTCTTTAGCCAGGAAATCCATCTTCTACCCAATGCATCTCTTGGACGGAGTGGCTGAGGCTGGCAAAATGTCTCAGGAGTGACAAACCCCTTCTGCTAGTGAACTCCCTGCTCCCAGGTGAAATCTTGCCCTTTGGGATGCCTGTGACTGCTAAGGGCAAAGTGATAAAGGGTGGATTAGTGAAACAGCAGTGAGAGAGGCTGAGAATGGGGTCAACACTGTACTTGGAGGGTTGTGATCTATTGCACAAAGTCCAGCTAGAGGCCAGTCAGCAGCAGGGAAAGCCAGGGATCGATACTGGGTAGTCCTTAATATGTTTATGTCCTGGCTGATGGGACAAAGGTAACCCTCAGCAAGATGGCAGGTGACACAAGGTTGCGAGGGTAGCTTGTCACTTGAGAGGGACATGCTGCCATCATAGAATCATGGAATGTATTGGGATCAAAGAGACCTTAAAACCCATGCAGGTCTGTCCCTTCTGCCATGGGCAGGGACACTTTCCACTATCCCAGGCTGCTCCAAGGCCTGTCCAACCTGGCCTTGGACACTTCCAGGGAGGGGGCAGCCACCGCTTCTCCCTGGAAGCAAGCTGCTCCAGGGTCTCACTACCCTCACAGAGAAAAATTTCTTGCTAATATTTAATCTCCCTTTTTTTTTTAGTTTAAAGCTGTTCCCTCTTGTCTTACCACTTTTGGCCTGTGTGAAATCCATGGAGACCTCATCAAGATGGAGAACCTCATGAAGCTCAAAGAAGTGCGAAGTCCTGACCCTGTGAAGGAACATCCCCAGGCATGAGTATATGGCAGTGCTGACCAGCTGGAAAGCAGTTTGGCACAGAAGGACCTGGGGCTCCTGGTGGGCACCAGGCTGGACATGAGCAGCAAATATTCCCTTGCCACCAAAATTCCATCAGGCTCCTGGGCTGCATGAGGAGGAACATTGACAGCAGGTTGAAGGAGGGGACACTTCCCCTCTACTAAGCATTGGCGAGTCTGTTCCTGAAGTGCTGGGTCCAGTTCTGGACTCCCCAGGATTAGAGATGTATGGACATACTGAGACAGTCCAGCAAAGGGCCATAGAGATGATGAAGAGATAGTAGCATTTCTCCAGGGAGGAGATGCTGTTACAGTTCAGGATGGAGAGGGCTCAGAGGATTCTTAGCAATGTATGTGGAGCAAAGTAGATGTAGCCCAATTCTCAGTGGTGGCCACTAACAGGACAAGAGGCAGCAAGAAATTCTAATTAAACACCAGATAAAACTTTATTGCACTCTGAAGCAGGCTGTCCAGAGAGGCTGTGGAGTCTCACAGCCCACCGGACATGGTCCTGGGCAGCATCTCCAAGGACTGGGCTGGATGAATTCCAGCCTCAGCTCAGCGCCAGCCCTACGGGTGTGGGGAGGCCAGGCTGAGTGCTTTGGGTGGCACAGAGCCCTCAGTGCAGCTACCCCTGAGCTCTGGGACAGCAGCTCAGCAGTCTCTGGCAAACATCCAGCACACAACGGCACGAGAGCACTTCTGTGCTGCCTGTTGGTGTTTTTTCCAGAGCTGCGTAATCCTAGGCAAACACTGTCTTTCCCTACACAGCCTCATAGGGAAACCACCCTCTGGAGTCCAGTGGGACCATTCTTCTTTTTGTGGCCAGGTCACTTGGCACATTTTAGTTTCCTTTTCATTTGAATAAAGCAAAAATGAATGCTGAGTCACTTGGCATTGTGAGGGACCATATTCCATTCTACCTCTCTTTTTTCTGTTCCCTCTAATTCCCTTCAGCTGTTTCACTTTCATGTTATCCTTTGTCATCATCTTGGAATTTCCATTTAGGCTGCTCCCAGCTGTCTCCAGGACTCCCTTTTAAAAGAGGGATGAATCCAGCTGTTGCACACTGAGCTGCATCTTTCAGAGCTTCTGCTCCTGCCCTGACAGCCCTCACCTGACGGAAAGATGAAGGTCCCTGCAGCTGGATTGGCTCTTCTCCTCATTTCAGCCTCCTTCTCCCAAACTTTCTCTGGACCAGGTGAGTCCTGCTTTTTCATTTATGAAGGGAGAACAGATATGAACCTTCCATATTATTTCTCCATTGAGCTCCCATGACAGATAAGTGGGAATTTTTCAGCATTTTTGCCATTCTTCACTCTGCCCAGAGATCAACTGCATGTAGGAACCCTGGAATCAGAAAATCATCCATCCATCCATCCATCCATCCATCCATCCATCCATCCATCCATCCTCCATGCATCCATCCACCCACCCATCCATCCAACCTGGGCTCAAAGTACTTATTCCTGGTTAGAATTGAGAGATTTCTGCCTCTGCCCTGGGGTTGGAGGAGTTGTGGAAGTGAAGCTCTGAGCAATGGCAGAGTGACAATCTCACAGCACCTTGATACTGCTCAGGGCATTGGACCAGATGATCCCCAATGTCCATTTCAACCTTAATTATTCTCTAATTTCTCACTACCTTCCCTGCCGGCACAGGTCCCAGAGCTTACATGGTCTTTCTTTGCCTCTTCTAGCTGGACTCGAGATCCCAATCTGCTGTTTCACATACAGCCAGCACAGGCTCCCACGGAAGCTCATCCAGCACCATTACAGCACCAGCAGCAGCTGCCCCCAGCCAGGCATCGTGTGAGTGCCAGCATGGGACAGGGCAGGGACAGCACTGGGGGGGTGGGTGAGTGACCAGCTCTGCACTGCAAGGGGGCTGTAGGAACAGAGCAGGGAGAGGGGAATACCAAGGAGAAAGGGCTCTCACAGGGATTGCTGGGGATGCTCGTGGGGGGATTCCCAGGGATGCTCCTGCAGGAGTGGAGGAAGCAGTGTGGGGGAAGGGATGGGAGTGGAGACCATCACAGCCAGCTGCTGCCTTCAGCATCAGCACAGGGGGAAACTTCTTGCAATGCTCAGAGCTGGGATCCAGGCTCTCCTGGGAAGCAGGTGTGAGCGGAGATCTAACAGGTCCCATCCCTGTTCCACAGGTTTGTCACAAAGGAAGGCCGCCAGGTCTGTGCCAATCCTGAAAACACCTGGGTCCAAAGCTACCTGAGAATTTTGGAGCATAACTGAGCGAAGCAGTGTGGCAAGAGTGGCTACTGTCATGGACAAGTCACGTTATCCTGAGCTCCAGCCATGGAGCAGAACCCTGGGACAAGAGGAGCCACAGGAGCACCTGCAGATGTTCCCAAGGGACTGCTGGAAGGGCACCTTGTGTTCGGGGCTGCTGCTCATCCTTGGCTCGCACAGACTGGGCTTCAGCCTCATCCCTCTGCCCCAACCCCAGGCCCATGGGACTGCACCTTGGCTGTTGTATTATTTGAAGTTACTTAAGAAATCATCATATGGGGCAGTCAGTCTTTTTTTTTTTCTGTGGATAATTATATTATTTATAGGGGGGTGACAGGGAGGGTATTTCTAGGAGGATGACCCAATGTTGGATGATGGGAAACCCTGGTTTATGCATGTCAACTCTTGATTCTGGAGAATAAAGAATTTGGAGAAAACCTTTGCTTTTTCCCTTTTATGTGCCTCTGTGTGGTGTTCACCAGCACACACAGAACAAACCTATGAGGCATCTGAGCCTCCATAGGACACATGAAGATGGAAAATGGTTTGAGGCAAACCCATAAAGTTTCCATACTGCAGACTCAGGAACAGCCTCCAAAACCTCATTCCCCCACAGCACACACCCCCAGTCCCCACATCCTCTACAGAATTAGAAGTGTTTATACCCACATGGGGGACTTTTACATTCGTGAATCTGCTCTCTACACTCCCAGGCACGTCGCACACATTTGCTGCTCCCAGCCCCACACACCCACATCAAACTGATACTTGGGTGTGCAGCATTGAGACCAGCAGTGCTGGAGAGGGACAGGGACCCCATCTTTCATTCTGACCACCCCAATGGGGGTTGTTCCTCACTTTCCCACCTGTAGAACAAGGGGAAAGGTCCAGCTCTTGCTGTAGGGGTAAAACAACCAGTAGAAAAGCTGCTGCAGTTGTTCTCAGGATGCAGCTTTCCATGGGAACACGGAAGGGAAGGAGCGGGTGTCCAAAGGCACAGTGCTGGGCACACCTTGTCCATGGATATCATGCTTAGAGTTCTTTGACATCTGCACTCCGTGAAGAAATCACAAAAGGATTTGGGTTATAAAGGAACTTAAAGCTCATCTCATTCCACCCCTGCTGTGGGCAGGGACACCTTCTACTGGACTCTCGTGGTCCAAGCCCTGTCCAACCTAGCCTTGGACACTTCCAGGGCTGGGGCAGCCACAGCTGCTCTGGGCACGCTGTGCCTGGGCCTCACCACCCTCACAGGAAAGAATTTCTTCCCAATGCCCATTCTAAACTGACCTCCTTCAGTGTAATACCACTCCTCTTTGACCTACAGCAACAGGGCCTGCTAAAACTTTTGTTCCCATCCTTCTTACAGACCCCCTTCAACTGCCCCCACAGCATAGTCCGGAGCTGGCCTAGCCTTGCCCACATCTTGTTCTTCCTAAAGCAAAAAAAAAGCTTTCTCTTAGTGTTTATTTTTTTCCCCTGCAGTTATAGGTCAGATTTGGCAACTCTGAGGCTGGGAAAGCACCTCTGTATTGTCTTGTGATTTCTCTCTAGTCTTGTGTTTTCTGGCCAGGAAATCTGGCTGTAGTCAAGAGGGTCATGAACACGCAAGGGGCAGCATCCCAGCCAAGGGCAGCCCAGCCCAGGACCATTCTGTTTCCCAGGAGATGGTGCTGGGGCCATACATGGAAAGGTGAAAATCTGCAGGGGGTGTATCCTGAGTGTGGCTACCTCACTGTGCTGTGAAACTGTGGAGCAGAGTGGTTGGTGGATGGACAGGAGCAGGTGAAGATCCTGGGAATGGGGTGCTGGATGTGTCCTCTACCCCTGAGGACATCCCAACCCCAAGTTTGGCACTGCAGGGCAACTACAGGAGCCCCAAATTGTCCCTGCTCTGGGACTCTGAGCTGAGAGGTGATGGAGGATGGATGTTTTGGAGAAAGGGAAGTTGAGGGGAGTACTGGAGTTTATCCCATGCCCAGGATGCAGGGACAGGCTGGAGAGGCTGGATAATCCAGTGCTGCAGTTGCCTCTCCTCAGGACAGTCCCTGGCTGTGTGCCCAGGCACTTGTGGGAATTTCCCTCTCAAGCCTTTCTGGTTTCAGTTTCCAGTTGCTGGACTAAGGGAACATTTCCTTCCCTGCCTGCAGTGGCAGAAGTCATCAGGAGATCAGAAGACCTTCATGGTCCCATGGGCAAAACACTGGATAGCCTGGTTTTCTCTGGCCTTTTTGAGAGCATGAACCCTGTGGCTGTTCCCTCTCTCCCAGCTTCACTTGAAGAAGCCCTGGGAGGAGAAAGGTGCCAGGGACACCCTCAGTCCCAGTGTCCACATTTTCTCCTGGCTGGTCACTGCTCCCAAACCCATAATGAACATCCTTGCATGGCCTCTCACTGCCACTCCTGGAGAACTGATAGTTTGATCTTGGCCTCACACCTCAGCCTCTTCAATTTCTGTCTTTTCAACTTGCACTGGCCACTTCATCCAAGAATCCTTTCTCCTAAACCCACCCATTTATACATCCCATCCTTGGTGCTACCCTGTGGAAAGTGGGGGCTGGATCTGGATGGATCAGGCTAAGTACAAACATGGTCTGTGTATCTGCCCAAGTCCTGGTGGGAACTTGAAGGTCTCTCTGCTTGAGCCTTGTTTCTCTCCTTGTTTCTGCTTTTCTTTCCCAATCCTGCTCTGCTCCAGGTGAGTCCACCCACCCAGAACCATAGAATCACTAAGGCTGGAAAAGACCTCCAGGATGGTGGCTCCAGCCATTCCCCCAGCACTGCCAAGACCACCCCTAACCCATGTCCCTAAGTGCCACATCCACACATCGGTTAAATTCCTCCAGGGATGGAGACTCCGCCCCTGCCCAGGGCAGAGGTGATGATGAGCAAGGAGAGGTCAGGAGACAACCTGAGCATCTGCAGACCACTGTGGCACCAATGGGGCTTGGGGCTGCTTTACAGACAGTTTATCTCACACTGGTTTTCTGTCCCTCATAACCAATTCTGAGGGACACAGCCCAAATTGTTCCCATCCCCTGCAGAGCTCCAGCAGGGAGCTGGGAGCAGCAGTCTCATTTTCTACCCACAAAGTTACCAGCCAGTTTTAAGTGTCAACCGCAGGCTGATAAAGTGCTTTTGTTGGTTTTACTTTGTGCTTTTTAGAACAAAATCTTGTTTCCTGCCCCAGGAAGCTGCAGAACAACAGTGAATTAATGCTTGTCTTGCAATAAACATTAACGGAGCATCCCAAGAGTTAAACCTGGCTCAGGCTACATTCCAAAGGAGCCTGTGCCAGGGATGTAGTCCCGGCCATCCCCCTTTCCTCTCACCACAGGGACACCCCTGAATCCCCACCCTGAGATTTCCAGGCATTCCTTTGCCAAATCTGCAGTGGCACAGCCCCACTAGCTCCCAGCCTTGGCTATGATATGATGGGGGAAAGGGCTGGGAAGAAGTTCTGGCTCCACATAAGTGCAGGGACTGGGAAGTGCTGGGAGGTGCTGGGGCTGATGCTTCTGTGGTGCTGGGATCAGGGAGGCCAAGCAGAAGGGAAGGCTTTTAGACCTAAGAAGGCTGGGGCACTTCCAGCTGAGAAGCTGGGTTTTCCCCTACATCTGCCCTAGAAATAGTTGTAGTGGGATCCCCATTTTCCAAACAGGAGGGGAACAACCAGAGATAACACAGAGAGAAAACAGCTTTATTCATTGGCACCAGCACAAAACAGCAGTTTGAGAATAAGGCTGAACACTGTGGTTCCACAGCAAGCATCCTGTAAGTAACCAGGGTACCACTTCCTTCTCTAGGGACAGATCTTACAGCATCTACTGCACCGTTACAAAATTCAGTAGGAAAATTCATCCTGGGCTCATAAAACAGCACTCAGAGCTAATTCCAACCCACAGATAGCTCTGGGATGAAATCCACCTCCCATTCTAGCAGTGGAGGCACAAGGTGGGGCTCAGTTTAGCCACATCACACAGCAGGGCACCCCAAGATGGGTCTGCAAGGCCAAGAGGTCTTCAGCATCATGTTTGCCCTAAGTGTAGCTGAATTATTGTGGATAAATGACACCTTTGCAAGGCAAAACAAACTTCCAGGGTCCCAAGGTGGCTCAGCAGGTCCTGGTGCTTGGCAGTAGCATTTCTAGGTCTGTGCCAAACTCTCATGGGTGGTCTGGCAGGACTTCTCAGCTTCCAGTGCTCACTGCAGCTCCAGGCTGTTCACATATTCCTTCACCCACCTGGAATCAGGGTTAGCACAGATCTCCCGCTTCTTCCTGGTCACAAACCTGGCAAGTCATGAGTTCAGGGGAAAAAGGGGCATCAGGGACTGGGGTCATGTCATTAGTCATCTCTCACAAACTCTCAAGCATCCTTGAGCTGCAGAATGTGCTAAAACCCAGGGGAAGATCAGGGTCCCTTGGGACACCCTGCCATGCCCAGATATTTGTCCTCTTGTCCTATGCAGAGGTGAGCCCAGGTGCAGTGTGGAATGTTGAGTGGATTGGGTTCATCAAGCTCTGGAAGGTCCTGCTGCCTCCTGACCTCCTTCCCATGCCTTATTCCCAGCATCAGGACAGTCCAAGGAGACTAAGGGACCACTTATTTCTCAGCTGAGGAGGGTGAGGGCTTACACACTGCACATGGAACCTGGGTGGCTGCTCCCTTCCCCCAGGTATGATGCCTCCCAGCATCCTGCTCCTGGACCTGTTAGATGCAAAGCCAGGAGCCCAGAGGCTGGCACAGCCTCCCCTCAGGGCCCCGTGCTGGTACTTACACAACTGCTGGCTGGGAGCACTTGCTGCTAGTGTAGAAATACTCCTGCACATGACTCTGAGGCAGCTTTCGTGAGATGTAGCTGAAGCAGCATAAAGCCATGTCAGACCCCACTGGAAGAAAACGGGAAATCCAGCCTGAGACCATACTCAATAAATTGTACATTCCTGGCTGAGAGCACAGGCAACCACCTCCTTAATCAGCTGAACTGTCCCTTCTCCTCCTGCTCTGAACAGAGAAACTTGATAAAAAAATATTGCTAGGATTGTTTGTTAAATGTTTTACAATAACATCCAGGGTAAAAATCCCTATTGTTACCCTGTGTCCACTTCTAAGGGCCAGCAAAAAAATGAGGGGAGAGGAAACCTGAAAACTTTTATACCAGTAAAATTCATCCCTAAAATGAAAGGATATTAGAAAGGAAGACCAGTTGAAATAAATCAGGAGAAGTTATTCAAACAGGTTTCCAACATTTGCAGCTGACTTTTGTGAGTTCTGCTCCAAATTACAGGCAGTCAGAGGAAAAGTCCACCCCAGGAGAGCAGAGGGATGCTGTACTCACATGGAGCAGGAAGGGCCTGAGAAAAGAGGTCAGCAACCAGGATGATGGAGAGGCAGAGTGTGGAGATGTTCATCCTGGACAGGGATAAGCAGAGGCAGGATCAGAGCAGGTTCCTCCTGTGCCTTTTGTGAGGTGCTGGCTTAGTCCTTGCTTTTTATAGGGACAGTGACCTGTCAGTCAGATTTGAAGGCAAACGTGGAATTTCCAAAACATAATAGAGCTGATGTCATGGCACCTTTGCCTCAGAAATACTGAAGGAAAAAAAAAAAAAAAAAAAAAAGAAACAGCTGGCTGAGGAAGTAGCAGAATAGCCTTTGTGTGAAGGGAGGTAAGTGTGAGCAAATCAGCCTCCAGTGACCAAGACAGGATATGAAACCACCCTTGAGCAGCAGGTTCACATTTGCATCATCCAAAACAACTCTGCTTATCAAAGTCACCTCAGTATCCCCACAAAAGCACCAGGAGGACCCAGCTCAGTCTCGTCTTCAAGGAACCAGGTCTGGGGGTTAGAGGTGCTCAGAACCTCAAATGGAAGATGCAGGCTCCACCAAGGGTTCCCTTCTCCAGTGGTGGGTCTGGGAAATGTCCAGGGTGGATACAGGGGGTCAGTAAGGGCAGCATGGGCAGCAGGAACACTCAGTCTAGAGACTGGCTGTAGATCTAGGCTAGCAGCCTTGGTACACCATCAAGCACAGAATTCTCGGTGCTGTGCTTCCAGTGTGGGTCTGTGCCCTCCAAACCCCTCCCAACAATCCCAGTAGGGGCTGGGCTTGACTGGGAATCCTGCCTTGATGGGCTAACTCTACAAAGAGCATCTTCTCCAAGTGCCAGTGGGTTTGGTTCAAGGTGGGATGCAGAGGGCAGAGCAGGAGCTTCCCCAGCCCAGGGAGCTGAGAGGGACCAAGAGACTCCAGTCCTTGGTGCCCACCTAGAGTCATGGAGATCATGGCGTGGACTGCACAGAGGCCCCTGGCACTGCCCTTGCCGTGACATGATGGGTTCCCCAGGATGTTCCAGGGAGCACTTCCCCTTTTTCCATCTCTCTACTTTGTGACTGGCCCCCATTTTTCTAGCTCACAGCCTGTGGTTCCTCTGGGTGTTTCCCAGCCCAGCTGCTGCTCACAAGGTGCCACGAGCTCGTGTTTCCCAGATTTCCTCACTGACCCTCATCCCCAGGGCTGCAGAGAAGGGCTGCTGTGCTACCATTCTCCTTCTCCCCACTGGCCTCATGGGTCTGTGGGGGCACTCAGAGCGTTCCTAGTGTACCATCCACCACAATGTCCCCATGGGTGGGGACCAGGGCTGTAGGAGGGTCTCCAGGGCTGTGCCAGGGACCCTGCTGGGGTGGGAAGGAGCCCATGGTTTTTCCCAGTCATCCTCCCAGGAGGCATCCAGGTGCTGTCCTGAGGACCCTGAGGACTCTTCATGAGCAGGAGCTGGAGCTGAACCAAGTGCCTGACATCATGGGGTTGTCACGGACACATAGTGGTGGCATTTTGGGGCAGCACAGCAATGTGCTGCAGGTATTCAGGCTTTGCAAAGGACACAACCTCAGCTGGAATTTGCCAAGGGACTCTTCCTGTCAGAGATGGGGAGATGGATTATTTATTGCTACTGCCATATTGTATTCCAGAATTGGTCTGGCTAATTGATGTGAGCATTTCTTATGCCCCAGATCCATGTAAGGTGTAAAGTAAGGCAGTGGGACTCACCCTCATCTTCTCAGCACAACAACAACAACTGCATTTTGTGCTGAGCCTCATCCCCACTGCCCCAAGGCTGATCCTGGGGCTGGGATTTCTCTTTCCAAGGAGCAGTGCCCATAGAAAAAGTCTATTTTTATGTCCCCCACCTGCCTTGCCACATGTCCCTACAAAGGGCTCTAAAAAGCAGCTGCTGTGCTGTGTCACCTCCCAGTCGCCTGTGGTAGGTGGCAGAAATGGAGACTGTCCTGCCTTGGGACATGCAAATGAACCTGTTTGGTGTTCCCAGATCTGCTGGCAGATGAAGGAACTGTTACTGCCTGTGACATGATATGTGACGGTGCCAGATCAAGATCTCAGAAACCACAGAAAGATTCTGATCTCCCAACCACAAGGCAGCCAGAGCTCACGCTCTGTAATTGGTGGTAAAGGCAACCGAAACCATGACATCTGATTATTGCTCTCACAGCGAGGTGTGACTTCTCAGCCCTGCACAGCCTTCCTCTTCCCTGTCCCAGACATGCCCAAGGACTGGCACAATCCTGTAGGATCATCACACAGCCCAGCCTTGCCCCTCGCTCGGGGGCTTTGCCCTGTGCAGGGTTTTTGAAGGTGCATTCTGCAGCCCTGGCCCTCAGCGTAGAGATGTCAGAGGTTTGGAAAGATGCCAAGTCATTTGTTGTAGCTCCACCCTTTCTCCAGGCCACATTCCCCAAAGCTGCCTTCCTTTGCCTTCTCCTTCTCCTTGAAGGGCAGCTCCCCAAGGAAAGGTGTTGGCAAAGGTGGCAGCTGGGATCCACCTGGCTCTGCAGAGGAACCTGGGAGGAGATCGTGGCACCACAGGGACCGGGGGGTGGGGGATGCCCAGAGTCCCACTGGGACCTCTGACCAGGTTATGGAAGGGCTGCGGAGGGGCACCACGGTGGGGTCTGGCCTCAGATGGAGACGGGAGCTGCACTGACCATTTTTTAGAGCTGTATGGCACAAGGCAAAGCAGAGGGAGGTTTCTGCAATCTGTGTGCCTCGATCGCTGAAAACCAGGGAGGTTCTCTCTCTGTCCGTTTACTTCCCCTCCCCACCACATGCGAGCATCCAAGGAGCACTGGGCCCTCTGCTGTCCTCCACGGGAAGCGTTCCTGGAGCCCTTCCACTCACCTCCACCTCAGCCACGGGTCATCCCTCAGCTGAGGAGCCCTGGAGACGCCCCCATGCTCCCCTCTTGGGGTCTGCTCCCTGCACACAGCCCAGAAGCTCCATCCTCTGTGTCAGTGCTCCTTCCCCTTGAATCAGAGCCCTGCTGTGCTGGGAGCTGCAGGCACAGGTGACACTTGTACTGTCCCCTTGAGCCCTGGGCTCTTCTTTGTGCTTTTTGTCCTGGGCAGGGGTCTGCAGCTCTGCAATGCCCTTTCTTTGCTGGTAGCAAATCCCTGGGGAGTGGGGGGACCATTTCCAGCCCCTCTCCATCTCCCTGTTCATCAGGAAGCCACTTTTTGTTCCCCTTCTGTGGAACAAAGGAAGACAGAAATCTCTACTCCCCCCAAGGACCCTCTGTAAAAGAGAATCACCTACTGGTTACCTGCTCTTCACAGCTCCAGATTAGGTTCCAAAAGCTGGCCCCAACTGGCTGTTTTCTCAAGACAAAGAAGATGACCAGGTTACTGTAAAATTAGCAGGAATGGGGCTCCAGACACACTCCCTGCCCAGCACCAGGGCTCAGATCATTTTCCCTTGCCCAGGAAAGGCTCTGCTGACACTCAGCCTGTACCTGCACTGCTGTTCTCCCAGGTGACTCTGGGGAAGCTCGGGCTGTGCACTGGGGGTCAGTATTGTTGTGTCCATGACACTGTGCTCAGGGTGCTGTGTGTCACATGAGCCTGGCAGTGCACAGCAGCCCCAAGGGGGCAACGATCCAGTAGCAGCAGGAAAACCTCCCTGGTGAACCTCCAGAGGATGCTACACTTTTTCCTGAACCATTTGCTGTCACTGCCTTCCCCAAACCTGCCTTCAGTGGTGTCAGAGTCATGGCACTACCATCTCCTCCTTCCCTGGCCTACAGAGGTGGGGTCCCCTTGCACAGAGGGGCTTCCCAATGCCACAGGCATCCCTGCCAATTCCCCCAGAAAGGCTGTGGGCATCCATCCTCTCTGGTCCTCTCCTTTAACTGCGGGGAGCAAGTGTCCCTGTTCCTTCAGGGCTTGGTTGATGCCAGCAGCAAGTCATTCTAGTGTTGGCCACTCATTTCTGGTGGTCACCACTCCTCCCTGGTGGTCACCACTCATCTCTGGTGGCCACCACTCCTCCCTGGTGGTCTAGTGGTCAGCTTTTGGCACTCTTACTGCTGCGGCCTGGGTTCAATTCCCAGCCATGGAAGGGGTTCCTGCAGCCACCACAGGTCCCAGTCTTTTCCTGGGTGGCTGTGCTGTCCTGGAACAGCTCCTGGAGTTCAGTTCAGGGTTCAGAAGCTCCCAGTGTGTGGGGCTGGGTCAGGGTGGCACGAATTTTGGGGGGTGGCAGCAGCCTGCTGTCCTCCCAGTGCCATCAGGCAGCAGCTGCCAGTGGGGTAATACCCCTGTGGTGGGGTGTAGGGAGCAGGATGTGACAGGGATGTAGGGGGCTCACAAGCCAATGCCCCCATACCGACCCCAGGGAGGGGTTTTACACTGTCTGATGCAATACTGGGCACTGTGGTGGTTTGTGTCCCCTTCAAATGCCATGGCCATGGTTTGGCCCCATTTCTCCCAAATCTCCCAAATGCTTTGTTGTGGCAGTCAGGAGTCGTTGGAAGGGAGGGAATTGGCATGATAAAAAACATTACCCTGCCACTCCAGGATCTGCTTCTTATCAGCCTTTGCCCTTATCTCTTTAAAATATTGGAGGCATTAATCTCTGGCTATCAGTGACACAATAAATCACAGGGCTCTAACAAAGTTCAGTCTGTCACTGCAGAGTGATGTCTGTAGGGAGCAGGGTGACACAGCTGCAGAGAGCTGGGCAAAGGGTTGCAGAAGGCAGGGGGACACATTTCTAGAAAGCAAGGTGACACCTCTGTAGGGAGCAGGATTACAGCAGGTAGAAAGCAGGGTGACACATCCACAGGAAACAGTATCACACAGCTGCTGGGAACAGGGTGACAAGGCTGTATGGGCAGGGGACATGCTATTGCAGGATTTCTTCCTGTGATAAGAAGAGCTGCAGGGCTGCTTCTCTGAATCCTCCTGACCACCTCCTAAAGGTAAAGAGTCCCTGGAGATCAGGGCCAGAGGCAGGATGGGAACACAGGGTCCCCTCGAGGGAGTGTGACTGCCCTGTGTGTGTGTCTGTCCCTCCCGGGGCCAGGGGGACAGGGACTGACACTAAAACTCTTTCTGTGAGCAGGACTTGAACCTGCATGGGGAAACCCCAGAGGATTTCAAGTCCATTTCAAGCCTTCACCACTCAGCCATCACAGCAGCTTGCCCAGGCTATGTCTGCAGAGCCCCTGGCTGTAACCCTGCCCAGGGGCACAGCAGGA